AGACACATGAAAGTAGGGCACAGATTGACATCCCTCAGAAGAGGGGGTGGGGGGTGTGAAAAGCTAAACCACAGAACTTATATGCATGTATTCATGACCAATGGACATGGACAACAAAGTCGGGGGGGGGGTAGGGTGGTGCCAATGGGTATAAAAGGAGAAACATCTGTAACAAAAAAATAAATAAATTAAAAAAAATAAAATAAAATAAAATAAAACTATGAAGTTACAAAAAAAAAAAGACAAGTAACATCATCCCTGCCCTTGAAGACTTTACAGCACAGTCCAACAAATGTTAACAACTCTGTTTTGTGGAGCGACTTTTGTTGTTCTCTGACTCCACTACAACCTTCAAATGTTTGGTCACCTTTATCAGAAATCTCCTTGCCTGGCGGGTGTGGCTCAGTGATTGAGCAATGACCATGCACCAAGAGGCTGCCTGTTTGATTCCCGGTCAGGGCACATGCCCAGGTTGTAGTCCAAATCCCCAGTGGGAGGAATGCAGGAGGCGGCCAGTCGATGTTCTCTCTCATCGATGTTTCTCTCTCTCTCTTTCTCCCTTCCTCTCTCTCTAAAATCAATAAAGAAAAATAAATAAATAAATAAATAAATAAATCTCTTGCAGGTAGCAATGACACCCATTTTGAATGACAGTACACTAAGACTCCAACTCTGCCATTTCCTGTGTAAACTTGGGCAAAAAAAATATTTTTGCCTCAGTTTCTTAATCTAAAAATGTGAGGAATACTTGTAACTTCCTACATAGGGTTATTATAATAGTTAAATAGATTAATGTACATAAAGCCCTTAGATCAGTTCTCAGCACAGAATAGTATTCAATATTTATTTTTAAATGAGATGAAGAGGAACTTCCAGTCAAGATGGCATGTAAGTAAATGCAGCATTGCCTCCTCCCACAACAACATCAAAATTACAACTAAACTACAGAACAACCATCATTCAGAACTGCCTGACATTGAGCTGAATGGAAGTCGTACAACTACAAAATTAAAGAAGCAGCCACATCAAGACTGGTAGGAGGGGTGGAGGCAGATGGGCTGGTCCCACACCCATGTGTGGCGGATAAAAATCAGGAGGACTCCTAGGCTGGGAAGGACCTCCCTGAGGAGTGAGGGGTCTCTGTCCCACACCAGGCTCCCAACTCAGGGTCCCAGTGCCAGGAAGAGAAGTCCCCATAACCTCTGGCTTTAAAACCAGCGGGAACTGAGGCAGAGGGAGACTGAGGCTGCTGGAACCCTAGGCAGCTCCTCTTAAAGGGTCCCACCACAGACTCACACCTTCTGGACTGAAGTATTGGGGAGGCAGCCTGAAAGTCATCAGAGACATACAGGGAAGAATTGAATTGTTTGGCATTGGGTGAGAGCTGGAGAGGTAGCTTTCTCTCACACGGACGTGCTGGCGAAGGCCGTTGTTTCTTCCCTGGGGCAGCAGATGGCAGCCATATCTGGCACTCCTGTACCTGGCTCACACTCTTTGCCCAGCCCTGGTGATTCCCTGAGGCCCTGCCCCACCCAACCTTCAGGCCTACCCAAGCTGTTTCCAAAGCTTTACCATAGGATTGGCCTGTCTTGGATCCTGCTTCAGTTTCTCTTAAAATATCTCAAACAAGCAACATCTCATCTCAGTAAGTCCCATACCTCTCATTAGGTGGCCCCAGGCCTGGCACTAGAAGCAGCCAGCCTTGGTTCACAACTTGGCTTTTCTTGGGCATCTCCAAGCCCAGCACCAAAAGCTGCCTGCAGATCACTTTGTAGCTTATGCTGGGTGGCCCCAGATAAAACACAGGCATTGGCTGGCCTTGCCCCAGAGCCAGCACCTTAGTGGACAGCTTCAGACCACATCAAAGCACCACCACCCAACCACCTCCACAAGTGACACACTCAAGGAGTGGACTCAGTGGGTACCAGAGCCCTGATACGAAGTAAGCCTTGCTCTGTGTGGTGGGCCCCTGCACAGCTGATCCTCCAAGGGAGTCAGAGGCCAGCGGTCAGTGTGCATAGCCAGTCCTTGCAGCTGATCAGCCTGAGTAAATCCTTCACATTGACATGCCAACAGCAATCAAGATTCAATTACTACAGAAGAGTGTATAGTCCACACTAGAGGTACACCTCAAGGGCCCACCTGGGGTGATCAGGGAGGCTGTGCCACTGAACCTTACAGAACACCTACAACAATAGGCCACCCTACAAAGCCTAGGATACATAACAACTCTCCCTAATACATAGAAACAAACACATGGAAGCAGCCAAAATGAGACAAAGAAACATGTCCCAAGTGAAAGAACAGAACAAAATTCCAGGAAAAGAACTAAAAAAATGGAGATAAGCAATCAGTCAGATGCAGAGTTCAAAACACTGGTTATAAAGAGGTTTAAGGAACTTAGTGAGACCTTCAAGGAACTTAAAGACAACTCCAAGTAACTTAGTGAGAACATCAACAACATAAAAAAAGACCAGTCAGATATGAAGGATGCACTAACTGAAATAAAGAATAATTTACAAGGAATCAATAGTAGAGTAGGTGAAGCCAAGAAGCAAACCATCGAATTAGAATATAAGGAAGTAAAAAACACCCAATCAGAACAGCAAAAAGAAAAAAGAATCCAAAAAAATGGGGACAGTTTAAGGAGCCTCTGGGACAACTTCAAGCTTACCAACTTGCATCATGGGGGTGCCAGGAGGAGAAGAGAGATCATGAAATTGAAAATGTATTTGAAAAAAAACTGAGAAAAAACTTCCCTAACTTGGTGAAGGAAACAGACATACAAGTCCAGGAACCACAGAGAGTCACAAACAAGGTAAACCCAAAGAGGTCCACACCCAGACACATCATCATCAAAATGTCAAAGGTTAAATACAAAGAGAGAATCTTAGAAGCAGCAAGAGAAAAGCGGTTTGTAACCTACAAAGAAGGTCCCATAAGACTCTCAGCCAATTTCTCAAAAGAAACTTTGCAGTCCAGAAAGGAGTGGCAAGAGATATTCAAAGTGATGGAAAGCAACAACCTACAACCAAGATTACTCTATCCTGCAAAGCTATCATTTAGAATCCATGGCCATATCAAGAGTTTCCGAGACAAGAAAAAGCTAAAGGAGTTCATCACCATCAAACCAGTATTATATGAAATGTTGAAGGGTCTTCTTGAAGGAGAAGAACGAAAATATGAACAATAAAATGGCAATAAATACATATCTATCAACAATTGAATCTGCAAACAAAATGAGCAAGCAGAAGAGACTCATAGATGCAGAGAAGTTTTTGTTGCTTGCCAGATGGAAGGGCTCTGGAGGGATGGGTGAAAGAGATGAAGAAATTAAGAAATACAAATTGGTTGTTAGACTGATGAACCTCAAAGGGAAGGGTGGAGGGAGGGCAGGAACAGATAAACCAAAGAACTTCTATGCACATGTGCATAACCAATGGACACAATATGGTGAGGAAGGCAGAAGGGGGTGAGATTGGTGAGGAGGGGGGTCAATGTGGGAATAAAAGGGGGACATCTGTAATACATTCAATAGTAAAGATAAGTTTAAAAATAAATAAATAAAATGAGTTGAAGAAAGAGATCTGGCCAATAAATGTAAAGCTCCAAACTCTAAAAATCTGTACAGTTCTAATATAATAAACTCAAGAATGCACATGCGTAAACACAAACCAAGAGGATACAAAAATCACAGTAATTTTTCCAATTGAGAAAATAGTATGATTTTCACTACTAAAATAAAGATTATGCATGTTTTCCTGTTAATATATCATGCAAAAAGGGCTAGACCAATTTTCACTAAATATGCAAGATGTATTTGGGATGAGGTGATTTAAAATATAGGCCATTTTGTATAAATAAAACTCATTCTACAGGGGCCTCAATGAAACAGGTGGGCATCTTACAAAACAGCTAAAATTGTTATTCAAGAGGCCTCTTTGCAAAGGAGGAGAAACCAAAAATGTATGTTTACCAAAAGTAATTTTAAAAAATAAGTTTCAAATAGGAAATCACCAGGGTACGTTCCAAAGTGTAAAAATAGATTTGCAATTCATCTATTTCTTCCGTGGGCAACTTCATTTATAGGTACTGAAATGAAGAACAGGTTGATTTTAAAAATAATAATAAAAAAGTTTTGTTAACAATTCTCATAATAACCAATGGCCCATACTATTTCATAGGCTATCTCAGTAAGAAACAAATCTCCCACCGTAAACAAAAATGGCTAGGTAACCACAGTTGATGCTGGTTGGAACACCAGGACCATTTGACTTTTCAAGATTTGATACCAGACTGTCTTTTGAAACTAAAATCTTTCAATGCTACTTCTTATGATAATGATTGCCATTTTTAAATAGCTCGTGTTCTAATATTTTCTATTTTTTCCCAGTTATCCAAAATGCCTAATATTAGTACCGCATTACCAACCTGATAATCTGTTTACTGATTTGGTTTTTGTTAATATTAATTTCAGGCTAGAGATTTGACCCATACTTATTCTAGAATTGACCTGTTCAATTGCAGTTGCCACTAGTCAGATGAGCCCTTGAAATGTGCCCAGTACAACCAAATAACTGCCCTTTTAAAAGTTGAGGGTCAAGGATAAGAGTAGAGTTTGGGTGTGGAGCAGCCAGTGTCCCAACCAGGCGGAATAGCGCAGCCGGCTGATCGTTAAGATCCAATCCTTTTCTAGAGCACCCTTGACTGACAGAGCCGGGCGCCAAAGACCGAGCGCAGAGCGGGAGGCCGCGAATCACAAGGGGCGGAATTCCAAGGCACTAACCCGGAACCGGTTTGGGACTCGACTCCCATTGTGAGGCGAGACCTGGGGCGGGCCATCAGCCAGAAAGGCTGTACCCTCCGGGCCAATGGACGAGTTGCATAGAACGAGCGGCAGCCGCGGTAGCCAATGGGTGTTGGCAAGAGGGCGGTTGAAGAAGGGGGGCGGGGAATCAATAAAGAATCTTTTTTTTCCCTAGACCCCTTAGAAGCGACGGGGCGGAGGTGCCGCAGGGTTGCAGGTGTGCGGCTCCGTCCCAGGGGATGCGGCGGCTCCGCGGACGGTGGGTTTTCTCGAGCCGGGAAGGTGACGACGGGGCTTGTGGCAGGTGGCTAGTTCACCTCCCCCTCGCTGCCGGCTCTGGCCCTTCTGAGGCAAAGCGGGGCTACGATGCTTGGGAGAAGTACCAGTTGGCTGCAGCCTGACCCGGTAGGGTGGGCAGGGCCCAGACTGCTGAAACAAGACTCCAGAAGTTTGTGGGCTCCTAGTCGGGACTCTGATTTCGTATCTAGAGAGCGGACTCTCTTTGCCGGTTGCCCCGTCTCCCACCAGGTGCAGCCACAGCGTTGTGACCCAGACAGGTGCTCTCCCGCTGCTCCTGCAGGCCTCCTGGGAATTCAGTGTCCTGGATTCTTCCCAGAGATTGTGGCACGGCGGTCCCAAGGGAAGCAGCGAGGAGGGGCTGAGGGGTGCTTTATGAATCTGATAACTGGTGACCTTAAGTAAACTTTAGTTATTTATCTACTGCACGTTGTGGAGAAGAGCTATTTATTTGACAGGGAAGTGAATAACAGTGATTTTCAACCTTTTTCATCTTCATAGCACACATAAACTACTAAACATCTGTGACACACCAAAACGTATATCTTTTTGCTGATTTGACAACAAAAAACATATAATTTTGATTCACTTACACCGATGGCTATTGTTGTGTTGATTGTTGTCATTTTTTAAATTTGACAATCAAAGGGAAAAGAGGTCAATGCCCCTGACTAGTCAGATACTGCATGTTTTAAAAATTCTTGCTGCACACCAATGAACTGTGATGCACAGGTTGAAAATTGCTGCCTTATAAGAATATGGGTGTTGGGGTGGTGGTGGTGGTGAGCTTGTAGATTTTGTGATGCTTTTCTTCTTGAATAGCCTAATGAATTTACTCCCCAATTATTTGTGGAACCAGAGTTTGCTGCCTGATTTTCCTCAGATCTTTTAATTCTCCCTTATTATGCAATATTTAGGAACTTCATTTTCGAGTGTTAGTCCTTGCAAAAAAGTGCCCAATTATAATATGCCATTGGTGATACATCATCTTCAAAAAGATTACGTAAGTGAACTACTTATTATACCTATTTCCAACTAGTAAAGAATGATTTCGAGATGGGAGTCAGGAAAATGGCTGTTCTCTGTGACTGAGCATGAAAGATCTATGAAGTTTTAGAGGGTGCAACTACTGAATTCCCTCTGTAAAGATAGGGAATACCAACAATATAAAAGGGATAGTGTTTGATATCTAAAATAGCATTTTATCCCCAGCACCAAAAATATGTCCTGGTACATAGTAGTAGCTAACAAATATTTGAGTAAAAAAAGTGGGTAATGGATGACAGAAAACCAAAATGTGAAGGAGAGGGCAGAAAAAACAAACAAATAAATAAAAACCACATGCATTCCTGGAAATAAAGGTTAGTTTTTATCCCTGCAAGCATAGCTATAAGTTTAAACTCAAGGTGTATTAATTTTGGTACTTTCTAAAATTAATCAGAAGATGTCAAAAGATTTTATACAATTAAGCCATGACTGATTAGAAATGTAAGATATATCCTAATGTCAATTTCACTGAGGTTAAAAATGTGTTAAAGTGCATTTGGTCAATGAAATAACCTATCAGTTTAGCACAGAACATTCAAGGACAAAGATCCCACTTTTGTTAGATATAGGTATGGAGTTACAAACTGTTGGGAAAAAAATAGGACATGCAAATTACAATGACTGCTGCCAAAATTGTAAAAACATGTTGACTCCAGCATAGTTTTAAAAGGATTGTTATTTCTGCTAGGTACCAATAAGTTTACCACCGTCCAATTACTAAGTTGATCTCATAGTCCAAGGGCAGCAAAATCTGATGATGGCTATCTGCATAAATTAGGATTCTCTTGACAACTATAATTAATCATTGTTTATTATCATATACTTATATTTTATATATTACAATTTATATATTATTGGAGTAACATTGCCTCCATATAGAAGGTAACCTGCTTGAATTTTAAAAATATGTGAACTTTCACAGATATATTTGTCTCTTGTAAGTTTTCTAGCAAAGTATAAGATCTTATTAAGCCAACATTAAAGATTTGCTGACATTTGGCCCGAACCTAGTTTCTCCTCTTTGTCTCTCATTAGTCTGTTTATTTTATAAGATCCAATTCAGATGCTGATTTCTTCTCACAACATCCTTGATCCCACTAAAAATATCTACTTTTCTGAACACCCAGTGTATTTTGTTAGTATGTATTGCACTTTTCATATATCTTCATTATTTAGCCAGTAAAGAAATATTTGCTTACTGTGTCCAGATACTGTACTAGGAAATGGATAATATCTGATATTTTTTGATGGCTTACTATGTCTTAGGCATTGTAAGATTCTTAACTGAGTTATCTCTTTTAATTCTCAAAACATTATGAGTATTAATCTATTATCTTTCCCATTTATAGATGAGGGAACAAATTTAAAAGTTTAAGTAATTTGCTTAGGATCACAGACCTACTAAGTGGTAGAATGAACATACAAGCGTACGTAGTCTATATTTACATCACAGCTTCCAGTTTGGAGTCTGTTATAATTTTTTATGTAAATTTTTTATGTACATATGTTTTACAAGATTATAAATTGATAGCAGGAGTACTATAGTCTTCTGTGATCCCTTATTGCTCTTAATGTAAAATAAGTGATTATAATACAGCTTGATAGTGGAAGCATGTAGCAAAGACATTAGATTAAGGTGGATGAGCACCATGAAGGCAACCTATAACAGACATTTAAGCGAAGTGCTGAGGATGAGTAGTCATTGGCCAGACCAAAGAAGAGAGAGACCCTGAGATTTGGGAGGATGGGTTAAAGGAATGCATTATGATAGTCCTAAGGCAGGGATCATGAAAGCTAGAACTATGGCCAATAACCCCATAAATCTATGTGTGGCTAGTCCAAATTAAACTCTAAAATGTAGTGTAAAACACCCACTAGATTTTGAAGACAATAAACAAAAACGTAAAATATCTCAGTTACTTTTTATATTGATTATTAAAATAATATTTTGTGGTATTTTTTCCTTTTTTTAAATTAATTTATTGTTACAGATGTTTCTCCTTTTACTCCCATTGACACCCTTCTTCCCATTCCTCCCTACCCTGTCCCCAACTTTGTTGTCCATGTCCATCGGTTATGTGTACATACATATAAGTTCTGTGGTTTATCCCCCCCCCCACTCCTCTTCTGAGGATTGTCAGTCTGTATCACAAAATATCATTTTGTTCTAGGATTTTTATGGATTCACAAGTCACCTTTAAGTCTTCTATTCCTTTTGAGTTTATTCTTGTGTAGTGTGTAAGTTAATGGTCTAATTTCATTTTTTGCATGTAGCTGTTTAATTTTCCCAACATCATTAATTAAAGAAGCTGTCTATTCCATTGTATGCTCTTGCCACCTTTGTTGAATATTAATTGAGCATTGTTTTGGGTCCATTTCTGGGTTCTCTGTTCTATTCCATTGATCTATATGCCTGTTCTTGTGTCAGTACCAGGCTGCTTTGATTACAGTGGCTTTGTAGTGTAACTTGATATCCGGTATTGCGATTCCTTTTACTTTGTCCTTTTTTCAAGATTGCTGTGGCTATTTGGGGTCTTTTTTAGTTCCATTATGAACTTCTGAAGTACTTGTTCTAGTTCTGTGAAATATGTCATTGATATTTTGATGGGGATTGCATTGAATCTATAGATTGCTTTGGGTAGTATGGACATGTTAATGATGTTAATTCTTCCAATCCATGAACAAGGTATGTGCTTCCACTTTTTTATATCTTCCTCTATTTCTTTTTTTCAATGTCTTGTAGCTTTCTGCAAATAGATTCTTTACTGCTTTGGTTAAGTTTATTCCTAGGTGTCATAATTTTTTTGCCTCAATGGTAAATAGGATTTTTTTTTAGTTTCTCGTTCTGTGAGTTCATTGGTGTATAAGAATGCCATCGACTTCTTGATGTTAATTTTGTATCCTGCTACTTTGCCAAATTCACTTATTAAGCCTAGTAGATTTTTGATGGAGTCTTTAGGGTTTTCTATATCATGTCATCTGCGAATAATGACAGTTTCACTTCTTCCTTTCCAATTTGGATCCCTTTTATTTTTTCTTCATGTCTGATTGCTGCGGCTAAGACTTCTAGTACTATATTAAATAAGAGTGGCGAAAATGGGCATCCCTGTCTTGTTTCGGTTCTTAAGGGAAATGCTTTTAATTTTTGCCCATTGAGTATGATGTTGACTATGGGTCTTTCATATATGGCCTTTATTATGTCAAGATATGATCCCTCTGTTCCCACCTTGCTGAGTGTTTTTATCAGAAATGGGTGCTGGATTTTGTTGAATGCTTTTTCACCATCTATTAATATGATCATATGGTTTTTATCCTTCATTTTGTTTATATGGTGTATCACATTTATTGATTTGTGAATATTGTACCACCTTTGCATCCCTAGGATGAATTTCACTTGGTCATAGTGAATAATTTGTTTAATGTATTGCTGGATCCAATTTGCTAGTATTTTGTTCAGGATTTTGTCATCTATGTTCATCAGGGATATTGGCCTGTAGTTTTCTTTCTTTGTAGTGTCTTTTTCTGGTTTTGGAATTAGAATTATGCTGGCCTCATAAAACGAGTTTGGAAGTCATCCTTCTTCTTGAATTTTTTGGAATAGTTTGAGGAGAATGGGTGTTAGTTCTCTCAATGTTTGGTAAAACTCCCCTGTGAAGTCCTCTGAGCATGGGCTTTTGTTTGCTGGGAGAGTCTTGATTACATCTTCAGTTTCCTTCATTGTTATTGATCAGTTCAAGTGTTCTGTCTCTTCCCAGTTTGGTTTTAGGTGACTATGTGTTTCTAGAAATTGGTCCATTTTGCCTAGATTGTCCAATTTGTTGCCGTATAATTGTTAATAGTGTTTTTTAATGACCCTTTGTATTTCTGTGGTGTCAGTTATTACTTGTCGTCTTTCATTTCTGATGTTGTGTATTTGGGTTTTCTGTCTGTGTTTCTTGGTGAGTCTAGCTAAGAGTTCATCAATCTTGTATATTTTTTCAAAAAGCAATTCTTTGTTTCATTGATTCTTTGAATTTTTTTTTGGTCTCCGTGTCCCTTATTTCTACTCTGATCTTTACTAGTTCCTTCCTTCTACTTGCTCTGGGATTTTCTTTTTGTTTGCTTTTTAGTTCATTAAGTTGTGAGGTTAGATGGTCAATTAGATATTTTTCTTGTTTCTTGATTTTGGCCTGTAGAGCTATGAACTTTCCTCTCAGTATTGCTTTTGTTGCATTCCATAGATTTTGTGTTCATTTTCATTGGTTTCCAGGAAATTTTTAATTTCTTCTTTGATCTCCATGGTAACCCATTCATTGTTCAATAACATGCTATTTAGCCTCCATGTTTTCAAATGTCTTTGAATGTTCTTGTTGCAGTTAATTTCTAGTTTCATGCCATTGTGATCTGAGAAGATGCTTGATATGATTTCAGTCTTCTTGAACTTGTAGAGACTTAGTTTGTGTCCTGACATGTAGTCTATCTTTGAGAATATCCCATGTGCACTTGAGAAGAATGTGAATTCTGCAATTTTGGGGTGTAATTCTCTGTAGATATCTATGAAATCCATTTGATCTAGAGCTTCATTTAGAGTCTGTGTTTCCTTGTTAATTTTTTGTCTAGAGGATCTATCCAGTGATGTCAGCAGGGTGTTGAAGTTTCCTGCTATGATTGTATTGCTGTCGATTTCTCCTTTGAAGTTCTCCAGAAGATTTTTAATATATGTTGGTGCTCCTATATTGGGTACATATATGTTTACCAAGGTTATGTCTTCCTGTTGAGTAGATCCTTTCAATATTATGTAGTGGCCTCTCTGTCTCTAGTTATGACCTTCATTTTGAAATCTATTTTATCAGATATGAGTATTGCTACCCCAGTTTTTTTTCCTTTCTGTTTGCTTGGTAGATTTTTTTACCATCCATTCTTTTTCAATCTATGTGAGTCTTTTGTTGTGAGGTGGGTGGGTCTCTTATAAACACA